ATACATATAAATACGCACACACATAGACGCAAACACATACAGACACAGAAACACAATATTCTTGTTATAGTGGAACACACCTATTCTATAGTTAATAGACTCTCCCACCTATAATAAGTAGTAGTAGTAAGAGTAACAAGTCAGTCGCTCAAGTCTTGACCGACTGTTCGGTTGAACTCTCTGCCTTCGGGCAGGGAGGAACCCGAACGAGGCTACGCCGAGGGGCGTAGTCACGTTCGGGGAGGTAAACCGGCCCTGAGCCCCTTTATACGGGTTCAATGGGCATATTTTTGGGCCGAGCCCATGGGCTCGGAGAACCCATAATAAATAACCGACCTTGTGTCACATGATGCCCCAGTGGGGTGGGGGTGACTGAATATCGTCAGTCGCCTTGTCGCTCAGTGGGTCAGTCAGTCGACCTTTAGTCGAACACTAAACTATCAGCGACCACAACTAGATGTCTCTGCGTCATTAACTATTATATCAAGTTCCTAACGTTTTGTACGTCGAACCTATTTTAGGACCGACTTAGTACAAATACAAGCCTCCATGGTGAAACCACTCCATAACAATTCTTCACTCTCTTTTTCACATACACACACAGTCACTACTTACGGTCATATAATGTTGAAACACCGGTTCACGTACGAACACAACTTCGAGCCAGGTCGGTACATAGATAGATAACCGCTTAGCAATGACAAATCCTGTGATATTGGATGTGCAGCTGGTGTAATGTATAACGACTCGGAATGGGAAATCTATGAGTCCATCATCAATAAAGTTCCCGTGGGTTATAGTCAAATACGCGCAAATAGTCTTTCAAAAGATACGCATCCATTCTTCTCCCACAGCTATGGCTTAATTAACAGGAATTATCAGTAAATCGTTAGTTTCTTATAGTCTAAAAATATATTCAGCCTTTTGATAACCTTCAAAAGATTGTTAAGCCATAAAAAAACAAAGCAATCAATCAATCTATATGTCTGGTGATGAGGATAATATAACCATTTTGAATATTGAGATACTGATGTGACAACCTCGAAAAATAACAATGAAAAATTTGAGAAAAATCAGAGATGTCAGTTGCAAAGTACTGATCACTTTTGTTTCTTAGAAGTGCCACCATTACTATTAATAACATCTACATACACATGAGCTGGGAGCATTCCAAATTAGATCTTACTTATTATAAAACGCAGATTGTGTGTGCGTGTATGTGTGTGTGTGTGTGTGTCTGTACGTTTATATATTGGATCGGATTTTCCTACATTTTTTAACCGATTTCATCAAAACTTCACAGGACTACGTAAAATTACCTTGCGGTGGTTCTGACAGCGCCCAAAATTGGAACAAACACAAGTGTTTTTGCATGAAATCAATTTGAAAACACGATAAAAAACGCTTCTGTCACCAGAATGAAAGGGGGACAACTCATATCGAGTTATACTTATTATAAAACCCAGGTTGTGTGTGTGTGTGTGTGTGTGTGTGTGTGTGTGTGTGTGTTCGCTTATATATGTGATCAGATTTCCTACATTTTTCAACCGATTTCAACAAAGTGTTTCTTATTGTCTTGCACACTTTTTTCTTTATTTTTACATTCAGAATGCTTTAAAAATTCCATTTACAAGACAATTGTTTATCATAAAATTCTATTCAATCGATAGACTCATAACGATTGAAAACAATGTTTTTGTTTGAGTTTGGGTTTGACCAATTCGTAAAAAAAAAAAAAAAAAAAAAAAAAAAAAATAATTAATGCGTGTCCGTCAACCTTAAACAATAATCTTTGTCAATTTTATTTTTCAGTCTTTATGATGATCGATACTTGATTTATCTCTTACTGTTACTTCCCCGGGCAACGCCGGGCTCTACTGCTAGTAGTTAATGAAAATCAAATGAGTGTACGATCTGGGAGTTAGACTTGGGGACGTCTGCATTAATATCATGAGCTTCAGATGATAATGCATTATTTCTTCCACTGCAGTTTTGAAACAATTTGCCACTGCTCTAGATAAGGAGCATGCAGCTACCATGTACCTTCAGGTCTTCATCCTTAAACTGAGTCCGTCAAAAGTCAAATCCGGTGTCTTCGTCCGACAACAAATAAAGATTATAGAATGCAACGAATTTTTCAAGATGCTCACTAGGCAGGAGAAGGCAGTGGGAAACAGCTTTCTTGCTGTAGTTTGGGGATTCTGGGGAATCACAAGGTTGAAAACTATATGGAAATTGTTGAAATCTTGGTGAAAAACTACGAAAAATGATATGCAGGATGACTCTCAAATCCATATCCTTGGCGATCATCGTCATAAATTCGAGAAAAAGTTGAAGCGTACCCAGAGCAGAAAAGCATGTGCATCCTCTAAGATATATTGAAATTTGAACGCATCTACCAAAGATCGTATGACGAAAATATGATTGGATACAATATTTGAGGATTCGTGATATTAATTTACAGTATAAGCGTAAATCGATAAAAAGTACTCACTTCTAA